TGAAGGCGACGCCATTTCCGTCCTTTCCTATGGAGAGATGATATGATAAGGAACTGAATTTGACTTCAAACCAAGCCAATTTAATTTTGAAAATTTAGAAGACAATCTTGAGTTTGATTGACATTTAGGCAATATAGACTAACGAAGACGAGGTTCAATGATTCATATCATGGTACTGAATTGACGAAAAGATTTTAATTCCTTAGCTTAAAACTATACTGTCTGTTAAAATAGAGAGTGTAATCTAGATGTCATGAATTTGATGTCACATAGAAACCAGAGAAATTAGTTAGAGGCTAATACATATTAGTTAGCATGAAGTAGTCGCTCTTTTATTAAATAAAGATAAGTTTATCTTAAGAGGCATTAAACGATATATGAATCTTCCTCTATGATCAATGTAGTAAGCCCCTATACATCGTAAGTAAGAAACGCTCCGCTAGGATTTCCTTAATAAGGTTGAAGAACTACTTAAGCATAACTGCGAGCTAACGCTCGTCGCGCAAATCGTACGTGTTTATAATTGAATATTATAGGTTTATGGGAAACTTGCTTAAATTCGCATGCCTTCAATGAACACCTGGCTTTGCTTGGCGGATATCAAAGAATATTTCCCAATGTCAAAATGTAAGTTGATGTTTTGTTGGAAATTGTTTAAGAAATTTTCACGAACTTTCTAATTGTTACGGGCTCTCTAAGCTTGAGTCATCAAATTTATTATGTTTCAGTATGTATTACTTCACGGGCACGGAAAAGACATCGTATCGATCAAAACATGAAATTCTTGTCGGTCTTTCCCTTCTTCATCCGTTCTTTCTCAATACTTTGGAGATATGAAACTAGAAATCGAAATATCGTGAAGATTATAAAACAAACATCCCGTAGATTAGCTTCGACTACGATTGGTTGATAACAGTCGAGATTATTTAAATGATTGAACGAGTGTAACGATTTAAAATGCGCTTATTTGCAATCAAACATCAAGTGTATTGTAAATAGAAATTTTCTTAGATTTTGTCGGAAAAACTATCAAAGTCCAGCCATACGTAAATGTTATTATGTTTATTAAAGAGCCAATTAAGTTTTCTTCTTCTCTATACTTCATAATCCTTATAGTACATTTAATGTTTGCTCTATGTCTCCGTTCGACGTTATTGTCACTAATACAATAAAATGCATTTTTTCCCTTTTTTGTTTTTGTAAATATTCCTATATATGAATAAGTCTGTGCAATGAAACACCTGCTCATTAAGTGCATTTAAAAGTTTTGCAGTTAGAGTACATTTGTCTTTTCTATGCGTGTGATATTGCATATGTGTTTGCGTATGTACGTGTGTAATGTAAAGTTTATTAAAGTTTTAATTGCACAATAAAAGCGAGAAAATGGATATGGCGAATATTAAAAAAGACATTTACAACCCAATGCATATACATCTCTAGTCATTCTACTTATTGGCTGACATATATATATATATATATATGTACGAATATGTCTAATTAGCAAAGTTATCAGGGGAGAATAAAAAAAAAAAAAAAAAAAAAAAAAAAAAAAAAAAAAAAAAAAAAAAACTAACAATAAAAAAAAAATAATAATAATAATAAAAATACCACAAACGAAGAGTTTTAATGAGCTTATGGTAAAGGAACTAGGAAAATGTAGAATAAATACCAATTTGACGCAAACTTGTGTCTAGTTAAAACGGAAGAATAAACACAGCAATGTACGAAGGGGTATGTGTAGATGCTTCAAGATTTAGCGGCTGTTAGTAAGTGCAATCAAATATGCCACACACTTCTAACTAACAACCAAAAAGAGAAAATATTTACAAACATATAAATAAAATAAATGAAAAAATATTAAGCTTTCAGAGAATGGTAAATCTCTCCTATCCTATTCCTATATCATTACATTTGTAGATGCGAGCATTACTCTCTGCGATTAGCTAAAGTAAAATTTATTATTTAGCTTAATATTTTTTAGACAGACCCATAATACATTTACCTAGAACATCAGCTTGCTAGACACGTTTTAGGATATTTTAACGTTCATTTCAAGGATACGCATTTCATCTTTGCATTTACAGCAGTAAATGCTGCATATATATATATATATACCTATGTGCTTCGTTTTACTATGTAAGATATACAGATATCTAAGTTGTAGGATGTACGTATATACGTATAATAAAAAAAAAAAAAAAAAAAAAAAAAGAAAAAGGATTTCTCTAGTAAACGTTAAAAATTTTCATATTGCGATGCTTTGAGTTTTATACTAAAATTCATATTTGCACAGACTTTCCTACAGAAGAAGACGAGTTCGTTCCTTTCGCATACTTCTGCTCGAGTGGTATTTTATTTATAGTTTAGGTGTTGCCTGATAATGCGCTGTGTAAATATTCTGAGTGGCATTAGCAGACACACACACACAGGCTTAAATCGTTTTGTCAACTTACTAAGCTGAAGCAGATATACATACATATATACAAATTTTGTTATAAAATACATTAAAAATCCTAGGGTTACTAGTCTGACAGTTCTCTATTGTAAATTAAAAAGGAAAATATATTCATTCATTCGTTCATTGGATTCTAGGATATATTGTTTTGTGACTGAATGTATGATTTGAAATTCGCTTCATTTGCAGGTAAAAACCCCTTTACAATATTCCACGATAGCTTTGTAGACGTGTCTTTAAAAACGTCAGACGGCCGACGTCAAAGAGAGAAAGAGAGTAATAAGTAACAATATTTGAATTTAGTGCTTCGCGTGTAGATTACATTTATTTACATCTCTCGAATGTTTCTAAACGCATGCACATGTACAATATTGTTCGTGGTATGTTAATTCAGTGTTCAGTGCATGTGTGCACGTTGATCATATACATACTTACATTTCGCTTTATGCCTGCATCAATAACCACGTCACGTTTTTGTTATAAATTTGTTTTATTTTTCCCACAATTTCTTTCACTTTTACATACGTTTTTAGTTTGCCTTTTTTTTTTTTTTTGCATTCTCCTTTTATTTATTTATTTCTTTTTTCTATTTATATTTTTTGTTATTCCTCTATATGATGTACATTCATGCGTACGCTTAAATGAATGCATGTGTTTTTGTGCTCCTGTGTTATGCACTCGTAATGGAATAGAGTAGAGTATTCCGGTAAAATGAAACAAATTTAACCATGAAAAAAACATTCAAGCACGGTTGCGGTATAGTGTGTTCACGTTTATCTATCTCTCGGTGCCTGTTTTCCTGCTTGATTTTTAATCAAATTTATTGTAACCGCTTTTTTCACTGATGAAATGCATTTTTACAATTTATATATGACAATGCACTGGATGTGGATAGATTTATTTCGAAGCCGCATATACATGCTAGATTTGCTGCTGAGGCAAATATAAGAGATGAGAAAAAAAAAAAAAGAAAAGTTAAATAGAATCGCATTTCTCTCTTTAGCAAAGTTTTAAAGCAGCTTTTTATAAACCACGCGTGAGAAGTTTACATTAATCTTAAAGAGAATCACGTGAATATCTATCATTGAAAAATTGCCAAATATTTATCTTCGGTGTAATAAGCGCATCGTAAAATATTTTGGATTTGTTATTCCTTATCGTTTACCATGCATTTATGCATCCACTACAAGCTACATATAAAGATAAAATGTTATTGGTTCAAAGTCCTATATGTGAGAGCACCAAAATTATTAAAGAATTCATATTCTTGTTCCCCGGACACTCCACAGGCGGTTACAGCTAAAAGAAGTACACGCGCTTTAAGCCTTGTAAGAACAAACGGACAAATAAAACCTGCTTACCGAGCAGGCAGGGAGCTTAAGCTCTGACCCATTCTGCACGCTGCGTTACCTATAGTCTTTTTCTTCTTAGATACTAAGGCGCTTTTTAAATTCACTCGGAGTATGTAGTTCAAAATCAAACGCTGACGCTATAAATGTTTGCATTTCTTGTAGAATCTCTTCCGACAATTCAGCAGATGCGTTGTAACATGAATAATCCAACGTTATTAGTGCACCATCATTCCCATTTTCAGCGTTTTTCACGAGTTCGCGATTCTTGTTTAAAATTTCTTGACGTTTTCTAAGTATTTCACTGATAATGTCACAAATACGTTTCAATTTATTGCACTTGTGTTGAACAAATTCCCAAGCATAAACGCTACGTGAACCTACGTGAAGTTATTCAGCCTTTACAGTTTCGCCTGCATTATCGATATCTCCAGTGCAGAGGTTCAGGCTCAAACAATCTACACGCTCAACACTTTCATCGATTTCAATCATTTCCGAAACATTTTTCAAATGATTATCAAAAGCACATTGCAAGTCTCTGAAAGTCTGTAATGTGTACGCCAGAATTCATCGAAACGACGTTCGTTCTATCGAATTAATATTGCAGGTACGCTTTAAATATTCTTTAATTTCATCGTTTGATTTAAAGTTACTAGCAGCAGATAATATGCACTCTTTTAATCTTTCAGTCGCCGAGCCGTTTTTGCGTAGCTTCCACCGAATTTCGAAGTTCAGAACCACGTATGGCTTGTATAAAAATATCTACTTCAGCCTATATTTGATAAGTTAACTCTGAAAAATGCATTTAATGAAATTTATTGCTGTGGTCGTTGCTGCTGCTATGGTGCGTGCGTAACAACTAACGAAGATTCTGCCGATACTGATTCAATCCTACGTTCTGCAGGATTGTATTTGTGACTAATGTTACGACGCAAAAACAAACATTAGAAATTATATTTCAATAGTATCGTAGATTAAGTGCTGGAAGCAAGAACTTCCCTAAAATTATCATGAAATTTTTAAATCGAAGAATTTAGAAATAGACAACCTTGGGATGAAAAAACATTTGAAGCAAAAATACGATAAGCAAAAACGTCGGAACTTGAGAAAATAGGAAGAAAGATTGTACCTTTCAATATATCAAGAGCTTCGTGGTGCATATAAACAATTTCTTTTATTTTCAATTCAAACTTTTATTACAAGTCTTCATTGCTGGGACAAGTATTTATAATGTATTTTTCATCGGCTGGGCATAAGCCCAAAATTTTACTTCTAGAATCACTTAGACATTTTACAGCAGACTTAGTACAATTGGCATCGTAAACTGGAGCTCCTTTTTTATTACTAGTGGCGTAATTACAAGTGAGCAAAGTGCACAACTTGTATTCACTTTCATGGTATACTGTGTAATCGCTCGCAGCACAACCCACTCGTACATTATGATCGTTCACTATTACTAAACTGTAAGTTCTATGAATATAAGAACAACGAGTGTTGTTTTTTTTTTTTTTTTTTTATAACAGAAAATTTATAAGTAAATTGAAACTTACTGCATATTTTCGTTATAGGAATCAATAATTCCTGGATGAACTTTTTCGATTTCTCTATACCATTTTTTTAAAATCACCTCCAAACTTTCTTTGAGCGGACGCACCCCTAGCGATGTAGAAAAACCTATATTTTGACCAGGAGATGGAAACCTCAGGGTCTTAAGGCAATTATCACGTTTAACCGCGCACCGTTTAACGTTATATTCAGCCAGCAAAGCCAATTCATCATCCCATTGCATTGTGCCCATACGGCAAGCTGTTTTGAGCATACCATATTTACCGGCAGCCACCCAACTACGTTGTCGATTGTGATAATCAACGATGAGTTCGCGTACTTCACTTGTCATTTCCAGCAATCGTCTGTCTTGAGGACAATCGGTATGAAATTTCTTTTGGGAAAAAATCTCATTAAAAGGAAAAAAACGGATACACTTTTCTTTTTATAATACTAACACCGGAGTTCTGGCACGCTACGTGATTTGAGCACAAACGACAATATTTCTTGTAATTCAGCGCCAAGCTAAGGACTAAAATGTTTAATACTATAAAAAAAATTTTCATTGTTTTCATTTCAATAATTATTAATTAATTAATTGTTTAGTCAACGGTTAAAAAGACTTGATAAGAATGCGATATGATAACGCGATCGTAGCCTTTTATATATGTGAGATGATATTTTTTAGAAAATACAAGTCTAACCATATGTGCTATGAAAGAAAGATAACTGGACTTTCATTTTACAATACATTTGTGTTTCGAAGTCTATTCTGAAACCGCCAAAGAAGTTACAAGTTACAAGTAAGCAAGAAAGGTATGTACGCCTTTGGATGAACATTAATTCTTGCTATGAATTTTCGTAGGGCCTCGCTACACTGTCTCATGAAATTTTGAAACATTTCGTTTGAATGTTGTTACCATTTAAAAATTAGACGGATTCATCAATAGTGACGATGTCTATACCATATCCTACCATGTTATTGAGTGATACATTATTCAACAATTTTGAATCATTTAAAATTATTGACAATTTCGGGGAGGGTTTTCAATATCACATTTGACATAGCATCAGTCAATTTCAATTTCAATCAAAGAACCGATCGTAGAGTTTCAGAATTCTTTGCGAAATTTTTTGATCGCGAGAGTTTTAGTAAAAGATGGAAGGTTGGACAGACGTCAATTAAAGTCAAATAAAACTCTTAAAGTTATAAGTAATAGCTTCTATTAGATATTTTTGGGTTTTGCGATGTACATACAAATTTAATGCAATCCATCTTTTAGGTGAGTAACATAATAAAAACCCTAGGAAAGTTATGGGTATTTGGAGTCAAACGGTATTGTAAGATATCCGTCACTTATAGGAATAATTTCATTGTTTTCCTATTGTTTATTATTTTAGAAAAGTTTCTTTAATGTTAACAAACTTTTGAAATCTTTATACGCGTTACAAATGCGATGACTGTATCGATCTGCTTAGCATAAAATAGATTCTTCAGATGTTCTTATAGAAAACTTTCACTTCGTACTATCACGGTGTAAAGTATATTTTATTCATAAAACTATTCTATGAATATGGTTTCGCTGTAAAAGCGAACAAAGTTTATTGATCAACCCGATATTTCTAGACTTGGAATTAAGAAAAGCTAGAAACAATGTTCATTACTTACTTTTTAAAAGCTTTTATTAAAACTTGACCATAGAAGCGACAGGTGTTTGTCATAGTTGTTTGTTTCTTCGCACAGGTGCTAAACTAAACGAAGACTAAAATTTTTGCAAAGAAGATAAACAGATATTCCCAAGTATGTGCGATGTATACGAACTTCAACTATGCTTGGATCATGCGAAGGACCAAGAGGTACCGAGGTTCGTTGCATTTCGGTTCGGGATTTACACTCGAGTTTAATTTGGCTCACCTTCGGCCTGAAATATCACGAACCAACGTTGCGTAGATTTGGTACATACTCATACCTTTTAAGAGTAAGCCTTGAAAGATTTGCATAAGGAACTCGTTAAAATAATAGCTTGATATCTATCCTGCGCATGGTGTTACAAGTATACTAAATAATGTGTAAGTTAAAATTAATCTCTCACACTAACGGAATTTAAAAATAAAAAGGTATGCATTTGGCCAGAGCCAAAGAGAAAAACAAGGAACGAAGTTATAATAACATCGTTATTACATGTCCTTTATAATCTTTTCAACAAAATCTATATCAGTGGATCGTGTTTAATTCATGTCTGCATGCTTTCGAATGCATGCATTATCGTAGAAAAAGCATAACATTGTTGGGTTCCGTTTTGTTTTCCAAACAAAAAGTCGTAGTCGCCGCATATTTTAAGATATAGTCATTAGTCACCTTAACAACCTTTTTGTGTGTACGTTTGCGTGCCTGTGTCTGTGGTAAGTTGAGTTGTTTATAATAATAAACGACGACACTAATTGATATGTTTTTTCTTCTCTTTGTTTTTTTTCTTTTTTTTTTGTTTGACATTAATTTACTTTTTATTTCTTTATTACACTTGTGTCCATAGACAAGGAAAATCTTACTTAACATACATTGTATATGAGCGCCTTATATGTTGCGATGATAATGAAAGTGGTTTAAGTCATATAATATTAAGTTTCTCTTGCTAACCAACTTTAACTGAGGGCAATAAAGCTAACCATAGTTTGTTACGTATATTTTTTCTCAATTGGTAAATTCCCTTCTTACTTAGGGAGAAGCTTGAATCAGTGCAGAAGCAATTGTTATTCCTTGTTGGCGTACATCGCCTTCAAGGGGATCCAAATGAGAGGCTCCTTTCATATAAAGACAGACTGCGATAAGTTTATATGCGAGCTCCAGCGAAAAGGACATTCATGCCAAGAGTTACTGTCGTTAAAAACTTTATAGACGGAAAGGTAATATCTTTGTTCCTATTAAGAGGTTGATATAGGCCGTGCTCCGCCTAGTGAGAAAAGTATGTCCTTGCGCACAGTATAGACTGGTTTCCTTCTAATTAATTATGTCATGCCGACTTCGCGTCGAATGGGACCTACGGGTCTCCGACGGGAGACATTTTAATAATTTCATCTTAAAATTTGTCTTCCTCGTTCTGGTACGGCGGGGGTCAGGAGCCTCCAAAGCCTGACAGCGGAAACGGCCCATAGCGGGAGTTTCGTGATGGCTGTGGTTAGCCCGAAAGCGCGAGAATAGCTTTCATTCATGTGGGGTTACATCGCTATCGGGTGTCTTACGCAGAGAAAGGCAGAGGCTTTAGATAGTGCCTGGCTCTCACTAGAGAGGGAGACGACCTTAACGTACCTCGTGTGGTACTCGAGGGCCTAACGGTCCTCACGGCAACGAACGCGCCGCTTTCGGCTCCGTACATTGCCATGTGCCATCGGGCACCGTGGGGTTAAACCTTCACGATAGTCTGCCCACGTTTAAAAACTGACGATTCTCCTCATTATGCGGCGATATAGCTGTTAAGAAAAAACCCCTCGAAAACCAACCTGAAGACGCGAGAACCTGACAATGCTTTTTAAGGTAAATTATATGTAAAATGTTGCTCTAATGCTGACACAGTTTTCTTGATTGATTTAAGTAATCTTAGAGGTCATCTTTTCATTGCTAAGAAAGCCAACCAGATTTAAGTAAAGCATTTAAAAGGAGGCGGAGGAGTTAATTGTTAGTAAATCTTGGTTGGCTAAACTTTTTACGAAAATGAATCAAGTCACAGACTTTCGAAATATTTTTGATATTCTTTATTATATCTACGAACTCACATAAAAACTAGTGCCGTTTACCTTAAACTAATACGAGCTATAAATACCGACAAATGTGAGAATCATTTAATTGATAAATGCACTTTATTGTTGTAAAATGCATTTTCAGTTTAAATCAGCGAGAGTTGTGGAACAGCTTAAAGGTATTTACTTGTTCGTTGAGAGTTCTTTAAAGGGAGAAAAGAAGGTTTAGAAGGCTTGGATCTTATTCTGCATTCAGTAGAGACAATAAAATTCAATCTAATGCTTATACTGTTTATAAATGAATAGAAACCACGTTTCCAGATACAATGCAATATATATATATTAAAGCAATCGTTTCTTTTAGTTTTTGACTTAGGTCACTTTCCTAGTTAGTGATAATATGGTGTGTGTACGCACATGGATAGAAATTCATTTAAACGACTATACAAATTTCATAAATTTTTTTCCTCCTTTTTTATAGTTTGTTTTCTCGTATATGCACATATACGTGTACATGAAGATCTGCACGATATCTTACAATCCGCCTACACACGACATTATGTCTGCATGTGTATGTGCTTTTGCATGCCTTTCAACAATAATAAATGTCCAAATGCATTTCCTGTTTTTTCAACATCAAAATGGCAAATGTAGAGTGCACTCCACATCCATATCCTACCACGCTTAGGCCATATTAAGTGTTGTTGCGTATGTATATATAAAACGGAATTATAAAAAAACGAAAGAAAAGGCACGGCAAGATGAGAGTAAAACAAAAAATATAGGAAAAAATATATATACATGAATGAAATGTAACGGCAACTGTTAAGTGGCCCTTTCGCAAATATGTTCGACTTCCGTCTAAATGACTAATAAAAAAAAAGAAAAAAAGAAAATGTGTCCAGAACATTTATGTGTGAATATTTATACGTTTATACCTACAACTGAATATGTGAAGTAAACTTTAAGTATGATTTCAAGAAAAAAGTTTCTAAATAAGAAACAGTAAAGTACTCTTGCATTTCATATATATATATATATATATATATTCTCAGATACAATAATAACAATTGTCAAAGAAAATGGAAAAGAAAAAATAATGAAGAAAAAGCCCCTAGTAAATAATACAACACTGGGTTGCACGGACAAAACACTTCAACTTTTTTTCTTCGTGTTTGTATGCGTTGTATAAAAAGAAAGAATACCAACTTAAGCCAATTGAAGAAATTGAAGTAAAAATTATATGCTCATTATTTTTATTATACAATTGCATATAGAATAAGGAAAGTACCATAATATAAAAACACCGCTTGCGACTATCCGATAACAATGGTGTGTTAAGGGGTCTTTTCTGTAATTTGTTTCTTACGCTCGGCACTGACTGAGTAGGTAAATTTATTTTTATATTGCGTTCGCAACACCTACAAGTAAGCATTGCAAACTCCAAAAAACATTTACACGTTTAACACAATCCTTAGGCCTTAGGACTCTTTATTTCTCTGCTCCTCTTACGTATGATACGCTGAAATTTGGAAAGAAGAATAGCAGGAGATGGGGACTGGGAATGACCATAGCCTTGTGTGTGCGATCGATTGGTAAGTGTCCACCGATTGAGCCACTCACTGTAGCTATAGCAAATTAGGCTCTATCACACTAACATTTGAACACTCTACTCTCATTTATTCGTCTATACGGCTTATCTGGGTTGATGTTAGTGAAATTCTTAATGCCACAATTACTGCATAAAAGAAATGTCTCTTGAAAATGTCGATTTTCCGTAATGATTACAGATGACCCTCTTTTACTCGCATTTTCATTCCAGTCAGCAGCCACAGCTGCAAGTATTTCCTTTTTGGGGCTTAGACAATGCGTAAGTAATTATCAGAAAAACCAAGAATTTATTAAAAAATAAATCAAATATTCCGGCTCTAGACTTGTAATTTAGTTCTGTCTTATAAACTTTCATATATTTTGTTAACAAAGGAACAGCCGTTGCTCCGCACGATCGTTGAACATGTAATATAGGAGACCCTTCCGCTATACCGAAATCCCATTGCAAAGAGTTATTTCCGTTATCTGAACATTTTGAAATCGTCTCTAAAGATATGGACAATTTTTGGCCACGTTGTATATAGCAGCAAGCAATATTTGTACAATTTACAAAAAAAAAAAAAGAAGAAAATGTGTAAAGCACACATGTTTTACTTATCCTTCAAGTTGGTGTGTAGCAGTTACAAAATAACACAGTTTTCTCTCACAATAGCACTGACAATTTTCTATTGTATTGCCAAGCGAAGATTTTCTAAATGTTATATGTCATCCGTTGCACTAGAAAGATAATGATGATGCCAAGGTGCCACAAGCTTTTGCCCCTTAATAGTCTTGAAAGTTTGAAAAATTTTTGTGAAAATTTAAAGCAGGAAAACCAATATCTACAACTGTCGATCTGCTATATGTTATACAAAAAGGAAGTAAGAATAATAACGATCTAAACTTAAATCCCGTAAGGAAAGAAAATAAATAATGTTTCGAGAAGATGAGTGTTTAAAATTCGTGCTTAGCTGAATATCCATCATTTCCTCTTCTTTCCACATTTCTTATTCCTTTTGCTTTTATTGTTATTATTTTATCTTGAAATGCTTACATAAGTATAGTAGAAGTAATCACAAGGTATTTTATTATGGAAATTTTTTTTATGCAACAATTGATTTATCCATGGATTATATAAAACGCAGGTCAAATCTTAAGCACTCATTGAGTGGAATTTATTTAATCCGGACACTAGTTATTTTTTATTTACTTTTCAAAAGAAATCTCTACGTAAAGATAGAGATGCGTATATTCAAGGACAACTCAATAATAATTTGGCAGTTATTTTGGAGACGAAGATTTCATGGAATAATTTCATATATGTGGGTTAAGCAAAGCAAAACTTGCAGAAGAATTAATCTTACAATTACACAGTTGTTTAATAGTACGACAATTAGGCAAAGAAATATCATTTTTATGCTGCGTACAGAAGGTGCATGAAATTCGTCAAAAAATTCAACTGCAACTGTAGACCTATGCTTCCGAGACAGCATCATTATATGAATACTTTGTCGGTGTGGCTAGGAAAATCGATTTTGGCACGACCCTCTCTCTATTTCTCTGTTGAAATAAATAATTATTAAAATTTCAAAACTTTATCAAAAGCTCTATATTCATTTTTTTTCATTTCCATTGCATTTGTTATGAAAAATCAAGGCTACCTATCTAATTTACATCCTTGATATTTAAACTGTAGCATTTCAATTAATAATTGCCAGGACTGTTATGTAAGTGTTTTTCTGTAGAGAAAACCTCATAACGTATTTTGGGAGTCCCACTCCTCCAATGAAAGCTGTGAAAATTTCTTGTCGTTCCGATCATATGTTATTATCATATTATTCCAATTATAGGTTATGTTACGAGTTACAATAGCTTTAGTGGGCTTACTTTTGCGATTTTAAAATAATGCCAATAAAATCCAAACCTGTTGCCTTGATTAAACGCTGCTTTTTGCTGCTGAGGAACAACGCAGTGGGCCCTGGCCCACCATGAGATACCCTACAACATTCTACTGTAAACACATTCCAGAATGAAGCCTCATATAGGAAGTGATCGAAAAAGTGGTCGGACCAGAACCATCTTCAATAGCGTTTGTCGTTCGGCCAACAAAGGGTACGTGTACCCAACTATATAATCAATGCACGTCAAAAATTGGGCCGTGTATGCTGAAATTATGATAACAAGATGCACAGACGGTGAAACAAGCTTAGCTTAAGGGTTTATCTTGAGTCTTTATGGGTGTTACGTAGACCCACTCAAACTTAATATAGCCTTGTACCGTAAGGGGTGCAGGGTATACAAAAACCATTTAAACACAAGTATTGGCTCAAAAAGTGCTGTCCGTTTAATATCTATTTCCTGTCAGTAAAGTGGCAGCTCTTGCAGATCGGATCAATATATATTAAAATTTTAACTTTTTAAAATCCATCGTAGACGTTTTTCATATTCGTGGCTATATACAATTTACACAGTTTACGATATCGTATCATCAACTGGATTGGAAAACTGGTAAAGAGATATTACAACATAGCAAAAGTGTTTTTTGGCCATAATTATAATTATTACGTATTGCATGTATTAGAACAATACTCAATATCGAAATATTCCAATAATTATATAAATTGTAACATAATGTTCAATTGCTCACACAATTATTATACAGCAGAGACCTAAATTTGCGACTTACGATTCAGCTGAGGTTTTCAATTGCACTTAAAGCCGATTAACAATCTACCCTTGCTTAAGTAAGCACGCACACATACATACACACATATATACACACATACACACATACACACATACACACATACATACACACTAATGCATACTAAATCTTACATTCACATTCATTTAGATAACTCTATACAATATCACGCACCATAGATCTGTTAAGCGTCTGTATGTAGTTACAACGGTTTCCTTTAAATTACAGTTGATTTTATACAACGTTGCGTTTTGGTTTTCGAAGCGCTCGTTATACTCATTAAGTGTCTTAAAGCAATAATGACAATAATTACTGTTTCATAATTATGCATAAAAAGAAAGCACA